GGGCGGGGCTGGCTGGCATGTGGTGCTGGGGGATTGAACCGCGGTCCCTGATGCTTTGCTAAGCTTGTTCTAAGTAGGTGCTTTAGACCACTGAGCCATCCCTCCAGCCCCAAGGTAACTTTTAAGAAGGAGAAAGTTAGTTCTATATATAAATCATTTTAGTTAGCATCTGATACATGCCTTTTGAGGGATTTATAGCTAGCTATAAGTTATAAAAATATATGTAAATTTAAACAAATATGTATAGAAATGTGTATACTTTTTTGGTGGTGGTACTAGGGTTTATATTTGTTAGGCAAACACTACTAGTGAGCCTTCTATATTATATTCCTAAACTATCAGATAGCCAGTATTCCCTGAAATTTTGTTTAAATTTGTATAATAAACCTAATGTGTACAAACTAACCTTACTTTTTACGTCTGTTGTGCTGCTCTTCCCTTCTCCCCCGTCACTTCCATTGGTAAACATCTCTGCATCACTTCTTCCGGTTTTCTGTGGCTACTGCTTCATTTGGCATAGGCCCTTCATTGTCTCTAGTCTTCCTCACTAATTTGAGGATCTTCTTAAAAGTCAACTCCTTTTCCAGTGTTTTGTTTGTTTGTTTGTTTGTTTTTCTCTCCCGCTGGTCATGTTACACACTGCTGCCAAAGCTACTGTCACACCATGGATTAGAAATCTCTTTTGATTCCCTGCTATTTACAGAATGTTAAACCTGCTTAGCATAGGGCACAAGACTTTCCAACGAAGTATGAGTAGCAGTCTTTTTGGGCCCTAACATCTGCTGTTATGTTGTTTTAATGCTGTGTTCCTCTACCATTTCATATATTTTTATATCAAGGACCATAACAGATTGGTACATGATGATACTCAACACACAATACATAATTACTGAATAAGTAGCTAAAAGTGGTTTTGTTCCCTATATCTGTAATCCTTTTAGTATCCCCATATTTATGTAGACAGTCTTGGCCAACTTTTAGCCTTCACAGGGAAAAAATAATGTAGAGAATAACAGGAAAACTGAGCTTCATAGCCAACTTTTAAAGTAAGGAGTCAACTCCAGATTACCTGTTTTACCTCTGACAGCTTTATCATACAGACCCAGTAGTGGGCAGTGTGTCAACAGTCTTTGCAATCTCTGTCAGCATGAGAGCAGCTAGCAACATTGGTCTAGATGCTTTAGAAACAGGATTCCGTGTTATCAACATGTATTACAGGAGTGGTAGTGTTTATTACTTTCAGAAGTCATTTGACTTCTAAATGAGTATAGCTTAGCTTATTCTCTAGGAATTCAAAGATGGTTCTAGACTATGTTTTTTTGAGAGAGCATTGTCTAATTGTTCAATATAATTTCTCAAACTCAATAGTAATGAATGTACCACTTACAAGCAAATTTAGGTGTTAACCCCAGAGTCTTAGGCTTGTAGTAAATCATTTTACTCCTCAAAACACATTCATTTCCATTGTAAAATATAAATGAAGTAAAGGCACAAATAATGGTAAAGAAAACAATAGCATTTTATTTCCACTTGATCTTTTCTTATTGTGCCAAGGATTGAACACTAGGCCTTGTGCATGATAGCCAAACATTCTACTGCTGAGCTGCATCCACAGCCTTTTGAATTTACTTATTACTTATATTTTTGAGACAGGGCTGCTAGGTGCCTGGAATGGCTTTAAACTTGATGTCTTCCTGCGTCAGCTTCCCAAGTGACTGGGATTATAGGCATGTGCTGTCACATATGGCCTCAAGAGTATCTTTTTAAATAGTGGAGAATCTTCAGTTTCCTAAAACCAAGGATCAAAGCCCCAGAATGTCTTCAAAATTGTAAAGATTTTAGAAAAGGACTTACTGGTTATTGAATTATCTTCAGCAGAGGTTTAACTACTGGATCTGCTACTTGACCTTCATGTTTTTTGAGGCTTTAAAAAAAAATTATTTTTTTGTTATTTCTCTTTAAAATGTCTTTCTTCTCCTCCTCTCCCTTCTCCACCACCTTTTTCTTCTTCCTCCTTTTGGTTGTTTTTGCTTTGTGTGTGTACATAGTTCTGATTTTTGTTTTGTTTCTTGTTTTTCTTTCCTTTATTCCTTATTCCTTGAGGCTCTTTTAACTGGACTGTGGCTTCAACTGAGTCTGCAAAAAAAGTAAGAAAGGAAGCTTAGTCTGTGGGCCAAATTCAATACCTGAGTATGTTTTGCCTGGTTTGTAAAATGGGAATCTTTCAACATATGTGTTTAAAAATTGGAAATTTTACTTTAACATGTGGAAATTTTGGCCTTGTGGCTAAAACAGGTGGCAACAACTGCATTTAAATTGCAGTTGCAGCAGGAGTTGAGTAGTGAGAAGCTGTACCTTTTAGACTGGGCACTACACAACCCCTTATGTAGCCCAGTGTTTGAGTTTATAATCCTTGCTATTTTATATGCATTGAAACTAGGTTATAATTGTATAAAGAGTAAATATGCTCTTAAACTCTTAATAATTTTCCTTGAATGACAAATGTAACACTCATTCCAAAGACAGAATATAGGTACCCAAATTGTTAATATTGTTCCATGATTAATTCTCACAAGTGGAAATTTTGTACTTCCTCAGTTTGTGCCCAAGTGTGCACACACCATATCATTTACAAATTAAAAGAAGACATAAATCAGTACTCATGGATTTCTATAGAAACATGTTTGGAAAAAAGTTGTATGAAAAAAAGGGAGTAATTAGACTATATTACATGTTCAGCCATACCTCACATGAATTCATTCCTCAGAGACTCCTAGAACGTAAGCAGCACAAAATGGTTAAAGGAGGTACTTCCTTTGGAATTTTACTTTAGGAAATTACAATAAACTCAAGTCACTTAAAATTATTATGTAATAATTCATGTTTAGACTGGTAATTGTGATGAAAGGTCTTAGTCATTTTTATCTGAGTGTATACTTGAGAGCATATCAAAAGAATAGTCATTCTCACTAAACCCAAATTCAAAGGCATTTTTTGAAAAATGGTCAGTACTAGGAATAAAGGCAGGCACCCTAGGGTGCCTTCTTTACCTTTAGATTCTGACACCTCCAGCCCACTGTGGCAGGTTTAGATGCATACAGTTCTGCGCCCTTACTGCTTGGGAGAAAGAGACTCATTCCAGGTCACACAGTTCCCTGCCAAGCACAGGTTGCTGCCTTTTCACTGGTTACTTTTAGGAAAAAGGGAGGAAGAGGAGGGTGCTTAAGAGTATAACTAGCTGTTTAAAGCAGAGTTCCACTTACATTCTTTTATTGCTAAAAAATATAAATGTACAGCAAATTTCCTTTTTAAAATTTCCTTTTATTTACTATGTAATATCTTAATAAAATTAAATGTTATGTGTATAAATACTTCTTTTCATATTTAGGAGTCTCCAGAAAATGTGGAATCCTTTGCATCCATGCTGAGACGCTCTCCTCTTACACAGATGGGACCCGCCAAGGATAAATTGGTCATTGGAAGAATCTTTCATATTGTGGAGGATGATCTTTACATAGATTTTGGTGCCAAGTTTCATTGTGTTTGTAAAAGACCAGAAGTGGATGGAGAGTAAGTAGAATCATTACTCAGGGTTTTAAGAGTATTCATAAAAGTCGACACATTACAAAAGTCTTGTGGGCGCAGGTGATATTTGAAATGCCAGAGAATATATATTTTTCTTAATAATGATAGAATAAAAGGCTGACGTCCTTAAAAAATACTCATTAGTCATGTTAAGCTACATTAATGTCTTCTCAAAGTGATGAGAATGGTTTTGGGGAAAATGGGAATGTTCATTTGGATAATGAGCTAGTCAGCACCATAAAATTAAAATTGAAATGAATTTTGCAATAATATGTGTTTCACGGGCCCTTTTACCTGTACCCTCTTTTTGCCACTTCATTTCCACAACTCTTTCTGTTTCTCAGGGAAATCTCCCCATTTTGTTTCTCAGTGCCCCTTTCTCTTTACCAAATTCTGAAGTTTTGTCATTTTATTAGTTTTATGTTTCTTTTTAAGGATTATTATTTTTCTTTTTGGGTAAACAATTCATTCTATTTATAGTTTGTACTAATTTATGAATATAAATATGCATTGTGGAGAGCACTAAAGTGGGAAATCTAGTAGTTGACTATCAGGTCAAAGGAATATTACAGAGCTGGGGCCGGGGAGATGGCTCAGTGGAATAAGCATTTTCCTGGCAAGTGCAATGGCCTGAGTTCAATCCCCGGTTCCACAAAAAAAAAAAAAAAAAAAGGATATTACAGAGCTAAGATGGGAAAGCAATAGAAATGATTTTTTCTCATCAGTTGTTTTTTTGTTTTTTTGTTTTTTTTTGTTCTGGGGATTGAACCCAGGACCTTGTGCTTGCTAGGCAGGCATTAAGACATGGAGCTATTTCCCCAGCCTCCCATCAAGTTTTAATGTACACATTTTTTTTTTATTTCACTGTTTCTGATACCAGGAGGCATTTCACAGTTGGTGTTTTTTTTACCTAATAGCATGGCAAGTAATGGCAAATCTAGTAATCAGTGATATCTTAGTATGAATGACAGTGACTTAGAATTTGTGATGTTTAAGAATAAATTATACTATAGAGATGAATACGGAGAGAATCTAGGCCTAACTGAACCATGATGAGAAGGAGTTACTCCTCCTGAGAACCCTGAGTATCTAAAGGTGCAGGTGATAACTGTGCTTCCTAGTTATGGAACACAAGCTTATTCTACCTGAATGTAAATAGGACCTGATAAAATTAACAGAATACACATGTCCTCAGATCAGTGATGCATGAGCTGGGAAAACATGTACAGTGGGCTCTCACAAACTGGTATGTTCCTGCTCCAGCACGCCTCTGCCTCAGTAATGAGATGCCAACTAATATGTTAGTAAGTGAGCAGTATAAACCAGGTGGTATCTGGGAGAAAAAAATGGACTTCTTGTTCTCTTTGGCATGGCTTTAGTTGTTATATCAAATAACACAGAAGTTCAATCAAAAATAATAAGACTAAAGAAATTTCTAAGCAGGATGTACTTGTCAGTCTGTACCTTTATGCTGTATCTACTCTGCAGTTACGGAAGGGATTACATTTGTTACTATATGTAGGGATTTAGAACATGGTGGGCATATGGTGAACAGAAGCAACTGCTGTTTTTGTTGTGTTATTACTGAAATCTTGGTGACCTAAAGATAATATCCTTCAAAAATTCCTACTGAGGAGGATTTGTGGAAGAGGTAAGAATGGATATATGTGGTCTTGAAGTTATCCCTAAAGAGAGATACCCTAAGCTATTGGATACTGACTGCGAGCGGAAGGTATAGTTGATCAGTTCCTCATTAATATAAAGCATATTTGAAAACGAAGTACCATTTTTTTCTTACACAAAGATATCCTTTAGTGTCCTGTTGTAATGATAAAACTTCTCCTTCTGCTATCATGGATAGAGTACATTTGCAGTAGTTATCTTATTCTTGCAAGTTGCCCTAATATGGAACTAGAGAATCAGGTAAGTGTAACTTCCAAATATCAGTAATGTACATATTTCTTTGTATTTAAGGATAGAATTTTACTAGATATAGTCTTTCCTTCATCAGTATTTATTGTGGATATTCTTTTATCTATACTAGTCTATTTTCTTATTTAATTAAAATGTTTAAAATTGGCTTTGTCATTATGTCATAATCTTCAACATATATCAGAATACCTTTGCTCTAGAATTACTCTTTTGATTCTTACACTTTAATTGCTCAATATCAGTACATATTTTTGATATTAGATATTACTCTTATGAATGATATAGTATGGTTTGCATTTACTTTCCTATAGTATGGCTTTAAATGGTTAATATTAGATTTTTTTTTTTTTTTTTTTTTCTCTCCGAATGCCCTCAGGGCAGGTTTCGCTAGCTTGAGTTGTGGGATCGAACCACAGCAACCTGAGCCTGACTGCTTTGTTGAAGCAGCCACTTAAAGAGCTGAGCTAAGGGGCAGGCCCCCTAAATGATTAATATTGGAATCTGCTGCAATATTTATGAAATCTTACTTTTTTTTTTGCGGAACTGGGGATTGAACTCAGGCCCTTGAGCTTGCCAGGCAAGCGCTTGTTCTACAGAGCCATCTCCCTGGCCCTTTTTTTTTGAAATCTTACATTTTTGCTTAAAGCTGTACACATACACATACGTACACATTCTATTATGAAAATTATTCTTTCTCTGTCTGTCTGTCTTTAATGATAAGCAGAGTCAAAGCTTAACCTTAATTCTCTGATCCTATGGACCAGAGATGTTGATTCCTAATAGTATGCCCAAAGAGGTAGTTAACTTCAGTCAATATTTAACCCAAATAGTTTGATTACTTTTTTCTGTCTGCATATAGTAGCCACCTTTAGGGTAATGCAGATAATTATTATAGTTCTGTATCTGTGTGCACATACATTGTTCTTTATAGAAAACCTTTGTAAGTTAGAAAATTCCTTGTTCAGCTTTACTTTATCACAAAATGAAGCTTTATACTCTTCTGAGAACTTTTAGTAAATCTCTTGATTTATATGTGCAGAAATGCTTAGGTTCTTTCTAAACCCTTCTTTTGGTTTCTTATATCTGGTAGTTACGTTTTGACAATGTTTAGAAAAGTATTAGGCCAGCATATTTACTGTTACTTTTTACTCCTACTTGTATCAAAAACAAAGCCTGTACTGTATGCACATGTCTTTGTCATTGGTGAGAAAGTGGTAGCACCGAGTAGGAAATAATGAGACCCTACCAGGCTTCTAATTGAGCAGATTCTGGGAGACTATCTCATTTTATGAGACATCATCTTATGGTGGTCCTTTTAAGTCACTATAGAGAAGAAACAGATGTTTATATGATTTATTATTTATCAGCCATACCTCTTTTTAAATATAGTGATATTTTTTAGTGATATAGTGATATTTTTCCATTCAGACTTTTATATTATTGAATATATTCTACTTTAGGATAACTTAAAGATTAAGTACATAGAAAAATAACCCAAGAAATACTCAATTTAGCCAAATGTGTTAATTTTATCATTTTAATAAATAAATGTCTGACTTGGAGCAACTGGTAAGGATGGCAAATCATTTTGGTTAACTTAAATATTTTAACTAGCTAAGTGACAGCCTTGAATAAATTCTGTCGCTTTGTTGTTACAATAGTTATTTTTAATTATAGGGTTTTTAAAAAATACATTTAGTACAGGGTCTATAAGGTATCACTGCACAGATTGGACTTGTAGTGATCCCTCTTGTTTTTCGGCCTCCCAAGTGCTGGGATTATGGGTGTGCTACCATGCCCTGTCTCAATTGCTGTCTCAGCACGCCCCAGGGGCCCGGGGCCGGCATGGCAGGCTGGGGCTTGAACCCCAGCTCTTCTGCTCTGCCTAAGCAAGCCCTTTATTCTGCTGAGCTATCTGGCCAGCCCTAAATTAGAGCTTAAAGGAACAGCTTTCAAACTTTCTACCAAAAGCCCTAGAATTTTATTGAAAGGTTTCCAAGATTGCGCAGAGGATAGGGATAAAGAGATAAGTTTTACTTTCAGAACAGCTTCACCTTTATCTGTTTTGTATATTATAGATCTGAAAGATTTTCTTTAAAGTGTGTGGACGGCAGTATTTCTACTTCAAAAAATAACTTTTAAAAGAACTTAAAACACTTTTAAAGGAAGAATCTAATTCTATAGGTCACTTTGGTAATATGCCCATTTTAATGGTAGTAATTCTGCCTGTCAGTAAGATGAAAGATTTTTTTCTCCTATTTTCATATGTCTTCATCATTCTCTTCAGTTATGTCATCTTCCATCTTCTTGGTTAGGTTGACTTCTAGGTTTGCAATTTTTAAAAATTTTTTTTAGTTTTTAAAGAAGAGTATAAATTAGAATTGAAGCAGATAAAATTACAAGTGATACAGAATTTCACCTAACAAAATCATATGATTTTTACAGTATTTGTTTTAAAACAGTGTTGTCTTCCAACCAGTTATTCATATTGCCAGATATATTTATATAAAATTGGAAGAAGAAAGAAAAAAAAAGAAATGCGTAAGAAATTAAGAAGAGAAAAAGTACAAACAATTGAAAAAAAGGAGATGAAACAAATTATAGCATTAACTACTGCCTTCCGTAGACCAGCAGAAAAGCATACTACAGTTGTCCAAACCATCCTGCTTACATACATACTTTCCCCCACTCTCCTTTCTGTCCTTGTCCTCAACTCAGTAACTCTTTGCTTGTGATTAAGTTCATTCCCTTTTACCAGTGTCTATTGTACTCTTCAGATTCCATTTTTCTCTTTCAGATTCTCAGTCTGTAATATTTTTGAACCAGTCATGAATGTTCTTGTTTTCCTGATCTCTTTTTTGGTGGGATTATTTTATTCATTTTATTTTATTTTTTTGGCAGAACCGGCAGTTGAACTCAGGCCCTGGTGCTTGCCAGGGAAGTACTTATTCCACTGAGCCATCTTCCCGGCCCCATATTGTTGATATACAAGAATGCTGTTGATTTTTGTGTACTGATTTTGTATTCTGCCACTTGGCAAAATTTGAGTATCA